TGCTTGATAAGCCACTTGATGAATCAGAGTTACTGGCATAGTTAATCAATTTATTTTTATTTTTCGGAGATCGCAAACTGTTGTTTCACCTATACCATATGTAAAGCTTAGTTTTTGGTAGACCCGTCTTGCTCAAGTTTCCTAATTATGTCGAGTTTTTGGTTAATTGTAAAAACTACACGCTTCCTTTTTCACTCCATTATCCTCTTACCAACACAAAAACTTAAATACAGTATTTTTGGACACAACTGAAGTAGCCTACTGTACTGATAACAACTAAAGAATCGTACTGTTCTTTTAACAGAACTCCTTCCCCCACTACCAAAAAGAAGGTGTTTAACATCCGCAATTTCCTTGGGACAGGAAATAAAGCCCTATTATAAAATTATATAACAACTCTCGCCGGGAACAGGAAATAAAGCTCTATTATAAAACTATATAACAACTTTTGCCAGGAACCAGTAGTAAGCCCGAGTCGTCGTTAAATAGGTCGGTCGACTTCCCGTATAAAATTTTCAATTTTGAAATCGTCGCATAACATTGCTGCGGTTAAGCTGCAAAGCGGTTAAAATGCGTGCAGATAATCAAGAGTTTACTGTATATATATATATATATATATATATATATATATATATATAGAGAGAGAGAGAGAGAGAGAGAGAGAGAGAGAGAGAGAGAGAATATAATGATTAATGAGAGAGAGAGAGAGAGAGAATATAATGATTAATGAGAGAGAGAGAGAGAGAGAGAGAGAGAGAGAGAGAGAGAGAGAGAGAGAGAGAGAGAGAGAGAGAGAGAGAGAGAGAATATAATGATTAATATCTAATATATATTTAAGCATTTTAGAGTACTGGGCAAAACTGACTCAATTTTATGCAATAATTAATTTTTGCAACAGTTTTTATTTATAACTATGGGAAAAACAAGTGCCAGGACCCGCTGACTGGAAACATATTTTTTCCTAGTCTAATTGCATACTAGTTACCTTGCAAGCATGGATCCATAAAAGTGTGTACTCTTGGGTGTGTAGTGATTCACAACATTGTGGAACACTTCTAAGCCATAAGTTTTATGTATAGGAGATAGCTTCTGGATGTCGCAGAGCATGTGAGGACTGCGAGCGACTTTATCCATAAATTTGTATGCCCTGGAACCTAATAAAAAAAATGATTGTGGATATGAACAAGTGTTTCAGTCTGTGATTACAATTTTTGATAAAATAAGGTGAATATGTGTGGTTAAATCAAAGGTGTATTGTGATTTAAGCTCTTTAAAATCAGCCCACAATCTAAATAGAATTGGGTTTCCCAACCAATTATGGTCAAATCTTATTCTCTGTTTGGTTATACTGCATATGTACACATGCAGCTAGTGTCAGAAAATGGATATTGAAATATAACAATGTAAGCATATGTAAACATATCCTAGTTGTAAACATACCATCCTTCAACCACTGTTTTTCTTCCCAGATGGGACCATGTTCACATCTGCAGTCGATGGTAGAAAGCCAGAATGGTCCACATGCTTGTTTGCAATGTAGTTTATCAGTGATTCCCATTTGACAGCTTTTAAGTTTACCATGGTCCTCACCAGAAGCTGCAACCCAGTAAAATAACCTAATCCCCCCAACCCCGAGTATTATTCATAAAAAAGAGCATTTGTAATATCTACAGATAGTTTTAAAACATTTGAGTAGTCACATGGCAATAACTGATTCATTACATTTATGACTGCACACAAAGGGAAAGAGAAAGGGGGGTGGCACACAAAGAAGTTTATCCCATGTCATAGCCAAAGGCTCATATTTCTTAGGTGATGATGAAAAATACTTGAAATTATGCATTCCACTCTATTTTAAATACATAATATTATTACTCTAATGTTAACATCATAATTAACCTTTTCCGAGTTATACATGTTCCAGGAATATACAATGAACACAACAATTCACTCTCCGCAGCACATGGATAGCGGAGAAAATCTGAGTTGAACAAAGTTCTATTTTATGCAGACATTATAGCTAAATACCTCAGTTACGTTATGGACCCTATATTAATGGAAATTAGAGTGCATACAACAAATTTAGTTTTAAATTGACTTTCAAGTTTATAAGACAAATTGTTAAATTGTCAAAACTTAGGTTTTAACTGAAAGTGTCATGTTGCAACTGCATTGTTTTCATTTGCCTATGGGGGAGTCATGTCTTCACTAATTATGGTAGTGCAATTGGCTACTAGCACATGGCACCAAGGATTGGCAAAGGCAAGAAGCTCCCTTTTCCTGTGCTTGATCAAGCCAGTAATGTGATGAAAGTTTAATGATTAAATTATGTGCATTATCCAACTATTAACATGATAATGTTTGCTACTTCATTGTTCACATGATGTAAAGTCAATTAAGTTGTGTTGTTAATAACTTTGTATTCACAAAAATTCAGTAACTGTGTGTTTTGAATTTTGAACGTAGCTTTAATATTTTTTCACTCATACCGCTATTATGTTTGCAGTGGCAGTTTATAGTGATGTCTAGCACTGGGGCAGACATGTAGCATGATGTCCCTCCCAGTCACATTATCAGGTCAACCAGTCCTAACACAAACCTCTTAATGATGAGTGCCAAGTGAGGCAGCTGTTAGTACCATTTTTATGAGTCTCTGGTATGACTTGGTTGAGGTTCAAACCCAGGACCTCCTGTATCGGAGGCAGATGCTCTATCCACTAATCCACTAGGCCACCAGAGCGATCTAAATCAGTAACTTGATGTGTGTGTGTGTGTGTGTGTGTGTGTATGTATGTATGTATGTATGTATGTATGTATGTATGTATGTATGTATGTATGTATGTATGTATGTGTGTGTGTATGTATGTAAAAGGCTTTAGAATTGTCCTATCATTAACTAACACTGAGCTGTTTCTCAAATGAACTTGTATACATGACTTCAGTACAAGTTTCTTCAGAAGTAATTGTTGATAGGGTTCCCACGCTACTGAGAAATTGGGAAAAAGTCAGGAGAAATGATAATTTTTTCCCAACCATGAAAAGTCCTTGAATTTTGCAAATATTGATGAAAATCAGGAAAAACCCAAGACTTTTCTGCCACAACTTGATGCCCTAAACAATCGTGTAATTGAGTCATAACTAAACTGATCATGAGTCAGATTTTTGAGTTCTTACCAGAATATTTGGAGGGTGCATTATGGATCATTTAGGTGCTTGCAATAAACATATATGCCGAGTCAAACCAAATGTTAAGGGGATTATTCTAGTTCATTCTTATTTTTAAAGTCAGCTCTATATCCATATCTTTCCTTACATGGAATATGAAAACCAGTATCACAAGAGGCCAACATGGTAGTGGAAAAGTGTAGCCACTTACTGGATAGCATAGCAAACTTTAAACATTGTTAGATTGAGTGACACATGCATGAAATCGATATGAAAATTGTTTATTTTCTCAGAAATTTGAGTATTAAAATCGTTATGTCTTTAATCAGCTGACAAGATTAAACTACAGTGTTGATGAAATGTGACCTATTACTCAAGATTTGCATTGCTGGTTGTAAAAAGAATACAAAACGAAAGCACACAAAATTTTCTATATATATTCTGAGTATAACTTCTGGAGTTTTGTATCATGTGACTACCATGTTGACATGTGCTGTCTGCTTGATAAATCAGACTGGCCTGATTACTGAATATTATAAAATGTATCTGACGTTCAATTAATATAATTGAATTTCTGTACAGCAACATTAAAAAGGAGGTTGTTGTTGATATGACATGACTGTTGGACTTCTAATGTCATAGTTTGAGATTTGTGAAGTTATGTGACTAGTAATGCATATGGTATGTACTGGGTCAGGTTTTATCTATGCCGTAGTTTCATCTAGTCTGTCAGTGGATTAAAGTCGACAATTATAATGCTTGAGATTTCTGAGAAAATAAAAAAATTTCCTATTGATTTCATGCAGGTATAAGTCTATATAAAATAAGCTAAAATTTGCTAGACGTGCTGGCATATGCTTGCTACTGAATAGTTGCAGCAAATTCCAAATTTTTTATATGCAATTGCATTGACCCCACACCCCAACCTAAATATCCAAATGAAAAATGGGGTGGGAATATTTGGAGGAACCCAGATTAGAAAATGGACTGCTATTCGTTTTAAGCCAGATTTGTAGTCCAAATTGTTGAATTGGGATATAAAAAAACCCAACACAAACACTGATTATTCAGTGCAACTAGTCTCGCATTTAATGTATGATTTTATCCTTTATAACAATATAATTATATGTATGACTGTCTCCATTTTGTTTTATTAATTTAGAGCTGAAATAAAAAATTGTCATCCCTTTTATTATATAATAAAAAAACTATATGACCCACTGTATCAATGCAGTTTTGGGGACTGGTTTAACTAATTACAAAACAAGTTGATTTTGCAGAAATTTCAGTCCTTGTTTATACAACAGTATATAATTTTGAAAATCTTTTATCAAAATTTAATCCCTTTTGAAAAAGTTTTTTAAATGATGGATTTTTAATCAAATTGTCTTAAAGCAATTTGGTTGTTTGATAAATCTTGTTGGGATTTTATTGGTACAGATAAATTCCAGGTTGAGCTCTTTTCGTTACAAGACAAGATTCTAATTATTTGTATTTATTTTTTTATACTGTTGTTTGCTTTCTAATAGATGCATATATATATATATATATATATATATATATATATATATATATATATATATATATATATATATATATATATATTGCTTTTAGAATTCTTTAGAATTAATGGTTTGAAAGGAAACAAAACAAATTTATGTTCATTATGTTGTTCCCACTTAGCAACTTAATGCAGGCCAGCAAAATAAAGTTGGAATTTTTATTTTGTTCATTAAAATGACTTTACATGCCAGTTTATAGGAATATAATCAAACATGTTTCATGTGATACATTTTATCGTTTTGTACATGATCATCTTTTCTGAATTAGATGTTTTGAAAGAGAAACATCTTTATATTTAGAAAATGCATGTTTTATAATCTAAATTGTTCTTTAATTCCATTCAGTATTGGTCATATGTGAAATTTGGAAAAATTAATTTCATCCTAGAAAAAACCTGGAAAAAAAAATGACCAGGAAATTTATGTTTAGAAAAGCGTGGGAACCATGTGTTGATCAGACAGTGGGTTTACTCTTAAATGCAGTAGATTTCTTATGGTAAAATTAGAGGAAACTGTTTGTACTTAAATAGTTTTAATCTTTATTTCAGCTGACAAATGAGCACTCATTTCTGATACTAGGTCAGGAAAAGTTGACAGAGCTTAGAGACTACATTCGTTGTGTGAATGATCTGGCCATCCCTGGGGATCAGAGTGAGAACCCAGACAACGTCATGCATAACTATGCCAAGGTAAATTGTTTTCTGACAGATTATAGTTCTCAATTTGCAAGTATTAAATACAAATATTTGGTCTTGTATTTAAGAAACTCCTCAAACTTAAGTGCATACACAAACTTAAGTTTGGATAGCTATTAATAAGTTAATTAATTTAAACCCAAGATATTTTGAAGTATCAATACATTTTGATGCAGATGTTTGTTAAATGTGAATAGTTTATTGGTAACAATTTGACACATATAAGATCTATGACAGAGGTCATTTTGTGACTAGAGAACAAATATGGTTTTTGCACAATAACTGGGATTCTCCACCATCAACAATTACCAAATGTTATGGATGGTTTACACTTGGGGATAAAGCACAACCCCATTGATTTTAGGGTCAAAGTCACACAGATCAGTGTAACTGTGATTTTAAGAAGAAAAATGGTTTCCACACAATGATTAAGTTTTGCATCACTAACCTGAACCTCAGTTTCTGGATGACTTGCACTTAAGGATTTTTTCTTCAAGGCCAATGGTCACAAATGCTTGGAAAGAATAAAAGTGGTTTCTGCTCAGTAATTGACCACATACTTTCACAAAAATTTGTGGATGACACATATTGGGTAAGAAAGAGGCCTGTTGAATTGATTTAGTAATAACTCGAGATCACAAACTGAAAAAGAAAAACAGTTTTTAGCTTTACTGATTATAGACTAGGTAAGCTTATGGGATTGTCTCTTGTCTGTCATCTGTCCTCCATTGTGTCTGTTAAAACATTTCTTCTCCTAAACTACTTTGGGGGGATTTCCATGAAACTTTACACATACACATTCATCCCATAGTCTAGTTGGTACTGAGTGAAAATCATGCCAATTTGACGTCTAATATCACTACTCCATTACCATGGGGTTTTCACTAAAACCTTGTGTATCTAGTTGATCGAAAATGAAAATATTGCTAATGTGTCAGATATGGCCAGAACAGCAGGCATCATCAAAATCTTCTTATTGCTATTCCTCTTTAATGAAAAGTCATATCAACATGGGTATTCACTAGATATGCACTAGGAAGGAGGG